GCTCAGCTGGCCTGGAGTGGCGTTGGGGACGCGCACAATGGCAGTGCGGTGGCAGGAGCAGGCACTGTCGGAGAAGGGCACCCTGCAGGCAGAGGAGCCAGTGGAGGAGGAAGAGGGCAGTGGCGGCAGCCGGATAGAGGAGCGGTTTCTCGGTTCCTAAGACCATCAGAAATATGTGTTTTCCGATGGTCTTAGGCGACCCCTTTAAAAGTGTCGTTCGACCCCCAAAAGGGTCGCGATACACAGGTTGAGAATCGTTGCTCTAAACAATGAAATCTGTATAAGTAGATTATTCAAATAATTAAAAATGAAAACTAGACAATATGTACCTGTTGTTTCTCTCCAAATAATTTCTTCTATCTATTAATCCTGCAGTATGAACACACATTCAGGTGACTTCTTCCTTGTCATCATCTTTTGCTAAATGATATGTGTCTTCTGATATCATTTTATAAAAAAGTTTCAAATAATTTCAAAATTATAGTATTTTTATTTGAATTTCTTCCAGCAAAGTAGTGTCAAAGCAAGAATATTCAATTCGTTAATCAGACACATGACAAGTAGGTTATCAGAAAAAGATTAAAAAATGATTTCATGTACTCAAAATATTGTACAGAGATACAAATAGGTATGATGAAAAGTTATGAGAGAATAAAAAGGGATAAAAATTGAGTCCCAAATTTTCACACATTGTTTTGTGGCCTCTCAAGTCCAATACATTAATTATTTGTCAATAAGCAAGCTTTTTCCCTATGGCAGCGAAGAGTGCTCTTGGCAGCTTTTAAAATTCCTAATGTGCCTCCAAAAATATTGGAAGATTCATAACACAGAACAGCTCAATACTTTATACTGTAAATTACTGGCCTGCTAATAAATTAGTGACCAAAATAATTTTTATTAAGTTTTTCTTATTCCATTAGAAATGCCTATACTTACAAGAACTGCTTTCTTCAATGACAAATCAGAATACTCACTTAGAAACCCTTTTCTCCTTTCTCTTTTAATAGATGTAACTATATAATAGGAACATTTGTTTGAAAACTTTCATTGTTTACATGCCAATCCATATAAAAATGAACCATATTATTATCTTGTATCTTAATAATATTTATAAAGCTACTCCCATTAAGAAAATTCCAAAGAACATGGGAATTCACAGTGCCTTCAGGTATTAAAATATGAAATATATAAAAGTTTGACATTTCATATCCATATGAGAGAGATTGGAGTTATAGGTATGAATTGGACAAAAGAAATTGAAATATCCTTTATCTAACATTTTAATAGTACATACAGCATAAAATAGAAATTTTAAAATACAGTCAAACCAAACCAATTTGAAAATCTTATGAAGCATAAGCAGCTTTAAAAAGCGTAAGTGTTCCATCCAGAAGTTATAACTATGCTGTTACTGAATTTATCTCTGAAACATGACATACTTCAACCAGATATATGGGTGGGATGAATACAGTGTCTATATGTGTAAGTCATTGTTTAACATGATTTAATACCTGTCAGCAAGATGCTTTAGCAAAGAGAAATTTCAAAATCTGAATGGAGTAGAAGTCAAAGCCTGTAAAATGTGCCTTAATAAGGAACTTTTTAATTTGAATTTGGAAAGTTTCTGGATTGGGTGATTGGATAAATATGATTTATATATCTATTTACAAATGTCCGCATGTATTCTACAAGTGTAAACATTTAGAATGAATTAATCTTAGAAAGGTAGTTTTATTTTTCCTAACAAAACTACTTAAAGATTTAGGAACTAACATTCTGTACAGATTAAAATATTCTTTCACATATTAGAAATTTTGTACCTGTTTTTCAATTGTTTTGGAATTATTTTTGCACAAAAAACTAAAAAATCAAAATGAATTCCTATTTTATAATTAATTATAATTGTTATAAAAATTATAATTGTTATAATTTGATGCAAATAGACCAGTATCAGAAATCTCATAAAACTGATGTATCATTTACCTACAATTATCAAACTTCAATCTTTTCTTTCAAACTACAGTTTTGCAGTATACTAAAATCATGGAAGCATTTAATAGTGAAGAACTTTTAAAGATTTTCACACAATATGGTCTGAAAGAGGGCAGTTCTAATCTGCTTTCTATTTCTGGACTTCAACGTTCGCTGAAAAATCACTTCTCAAATCTTTTGGTAAGCCATTCTAAAATTATAGTGACAATTAGCGCTATCCTAATATTTTCTTAATCTTGCAAATTCTTTCAGATAACACCTTAGGAAGAACCTGTCGGATTTTCTGAAATAAATTAGATGTAGTCATATGCAGCTTTCACCCACTTAATGACTTGTGGATTCAAATTTGGTTAAGCAAAAGGGAGAGATGGGAAAATGAAAAAAAGATGCAAGAATTCAGTATAATACAATTTCTATCAGGTTTGTATGTTATGCCTCTAATCTGAAATAACTGCACACATGGAAGTTGATTGATATATAATTATTAAAACAATGATTTATTTAAAATGAAAGAGTAATTTTATGGAAATGTATTCTCTGCAAATGAATAGAAGGAAAAACTATATTGAATTATAGAATAACTGCAAGAAACTCATGGAGAGCAGTGAAAAACTACAAACCATCGCCCAATCTAGTGTAATTTTAGAGTTGATATAATAGGTCCCACCTCCAAAACAACATGGAATATGGCAAAAACTACTTGTGTAATATCTGGAACATTAGTCATAGCAACTGCACTTATTTTCTTTTGATTTGAGATGTTTCACTGCCCATCCAAGTAGCTTCTTCAGCTTGAACAAGTTGGTTAAAAGAATCTGAGTAGGCAGAGTCGCTGAAATGTGACAACTTTAGTTGCCATGACTAAACTTCCAGACAATTCTACCAGGATGATTGAAAATCTTCATCAATATATTCATGTAATATTTTCCCCAAAATTATACTATTATCCCTAATAACTTTTATGATAAGAAGAAAAAATATTTTAAATTCACCCAACTTTGATAATTTTGAAATTCAAAATTTTATCTTTGCTTCTTTTGGTACTCTTTGTTTTTAATAAACAAACTATTACTGAATTATTTTTGAACTTATATTTGTAAATTGGCATTGGTGGCCTTGTTACCACCAAATGTATTATTAGCAGCATCTTTATCACTAATAAAAATGTATCTTGTTTCTTAATCTTAATACTTAGAACAACACTAACGTGCTTTAGGAATTTTAGTTATCAATCTTTCCTCGAAAAACTCAATATTTTTAGCAGTATATGCCCTAACAGCCATCCTGTCAGATCAGGAAAAGATGAAAAAATAAACATAACATTTGGCCTATGCATATGTAAAGTGGGTTTTACAAAACATACAAAAACCCATATTAAGAAAAACATTTTTACACACACAGCCAGGATATAGTCATAAAATTTGTTATTTCAAATTAGTCAGTCAAAATGTTGTTGCATAAAAACTCAGCTGAAAGTTCATGATAAATTCTATTTGTTCTGTTATTTCTTTCATGATAAATTCTATTTATTCTTTCATTTCTTTTGCTCTAAAATTAGACTATACAAAATAATTGCTTTATTGTCATTTTCTATCTCCAAACTTACAGGGCTCTCTGAGTCTCAATGATATTGCCAAATATGCTGGTATTGATAAAGATGGAACAGTCAACTTTAATTATTAAATTGTTGACCAGGTTAAGTACTATGGCTGAATTAGCTAGAGCAACTGGACTATCTAATTTGGTCTCCTAAAGGATCCTTTGATGAGGACAATGGAGACAAAGTAAACTTAACATCTCAGAACTAACCAATCATAAACATATAAAATGTTTACATTTGTACACAAATCTCTGTAAAACTCCCTGAAATAATGAATAAAGATTGATATTTACTTAAAACTCTACATGTCTGGTGGTTGGTAAAACATCATCCTAATGGATTTAAGAGCGAATCTGAAGTATTTACATAACAAATATGAGTCAGGCAAAAGATTCCAGACCTCATTTCAACCAAGCTACATCACAAAAGTTGTGGCTTGAGAGCTAGTCCAATAAACATGTAGGGACTATTTATTGTACATGTCCAAACCATATCGTTAATAGGGGATTACACAAGTTGTAGTCAGTACTCTCTGAACACAAGAGGTTTTCATTATAATAACTAGTCATTGATAATTTTACATTCCAACCTAACATACACATCCGTATTCTGTACTGATTGATAATACAGTACATGTGTTAATTGTAAACCATGCAATGTTGCACTTTCTTTACTAGTCTTGATTTACTGAGCAATTATTTTATCGCTTATCTCAAACATTATGCAACACAATATATTAGGTTACTGTCTAATAGCTGCTTGGGTTAAATAATTTTATGTATCCAATTTCTTACACTGTTATTTTTTAAAATATAAATATGCCATCCTATTAAAAGTAAGCTTCCAAAAGTACTATGCTTAGCAGCAGAATTTTTATCTTAATTTTGGCGCCTACTGCATTCAAACCATTATCTTTTGAGCTAATCTCAAACATGCATGTTCTACAGTTATGTGTGACCTTAGAAAATTGAGAGAAGCACACATTCATAGTTGTTTGTCATTGTTTAAGCAATTGATCTGGCATATCTGCTTTAAACAGTGTTTATATAAAAATGAAATTACGGGTGGTCTTTATTTAGTATTCTTCAACAATTTTTAAACGGATTTGTCCAAACATTACTTTTATTTAATTTGTAGTAAAAAAATAAATAAAAGAAGAACTGGAAAGAAAATACCATGATTACAACTGGAAAATCAGGTCATTTAGACTGCCCATAAAATTCAATGCAAGATCTATGCACAAAAAGTGACTCATTCAGAAACATTCTTAGCCACGCTTGCAACAGATTCCTTGGAATTAGTATTGCTTGTCTGTCTTGACTAAGTGATTCAACAAATCTAATCAAGAATGAGCAAATCTGGGCAGAATCCAATATCTATTTAAACACAAGGAGGAAGCAATACTTACAACAGGATTCTTTGTATTGGGATCAAATTCTGTTGAGTTTGCATCTGTAGGAAAAAAAATAATTAAAAAACTAATGTAAAGTCTAACTGTCAGTTCTGAGGATTAAAATGTTCTTCTCATTGACATTTTAATATTATACATAATATATTCTTCAATTAAACAATATGAAATAAACCACTAAAATGAACACGTTCCAACTAAAGACATTTATGAATGATGTTCTAACTGACATTGTGGGCAGAGACTCATATAAATGATAGCTAACATAGCAGATGTGCATCTATAAATACAATACTTCCCAATTGCTTTCTTGCTCTGAGAATGTGCTTAAACATTATGAACAATGAGGAACATTAAGCCTATGCATTAGTATTAATGGTTAGGTATGCCTGAATTCAGCACCCCTAAACCATTGTGACAGCAACAAAGGTAGAAAAAAGCAGATAATTAAAGTTAGAAAATGTGCATTATGACATACGAGTCCATATCTTCCATTATTGCCTATGACATTGTGATGCAAATATGAAAGGCAGATTTTGCATTGTGACACACTTTTAATCATTTTGACATCATAACAGTTAGCTACAGATACCCATGGATAATCAAGAATACACAGACAAGATAGAAAGAACTGCACATGGATTAGAGAGCAAATGAAAGTATACAATATCATGAAGAGAGTAAAAGAATTGAAATGGAAATGGACTGGTCACATGGCAAGAAGAACTGATGGCAGGTGGACCAAGGCAGTCATAGAATGGATCCTACTTGATAAAAAGCATCCACAAAAGAGACCTAAAACAAAATGGACCAATGACATCAGCAAGTATTACGGGCCCAATTGGCAAAAGAAAGGTCAGAACAGTATTAGTTGGAAACATGAAGAGGCCTTCATCCTGCAGTGGATAGACAATGGCTAAAGTGATGATGATGATGAATCAAGAACTCAAATGGCTAAACTGATGATGATGATGAATCAAGAACTCAAAAGGGTGTTGGACCATGCTGTTGATTTGACTGCTCTTGGTGATCAAAGTTTTTTTTTCTTCAGTTATCAGAGTTTCATTAGAAATATGGTCCTATCATAAGGAATGTGGAATTTTCTTCAAGTTAAAGGCATCAACATCCTATTTTTGCCTGGAGGAATGGAAGATTCCTAAAAGTCTAAAAAGAAGATAAAGGGGGCTGAAGGTAGCTGAGATCTAAGAAGTGCAACTTATTATTGAAGTATGGCATTGACTTATATAAATTTTACTTACAGTGTTGGTTGGTAGTTATGCAACACCAAAATTAAATATTGAAAAGTGCTGAGAATTAATAATTCTATAAAAAAACAATTATTTTTTGGGATTTCCTCCTGACATATTTTTCCTAAGGAGGGAACCTCTTATACAACAATTCTGCTAAATGAAATTATTTTGCTTTATTCCCTCAGTCTGATTAATTACTGAATGCAGCTAAGAACTATCTTCTTCTGCAAGTGGAGATTTCTTCACTTACAGAGCTTATGCTTATTAGATTTTTACTAAGTTAAAGTGGGGCTTACCCCCAGATAATTAGGTGTAAAATACCTTGCCAGTTTAGACAGTTCCTTGCAAATTCCACTACTGCCAACTGCATTCCCAAACAAATTCCTATAAGTAACAAAAATGGTAAATGATACAATTACATATATACATTTATATATATTTTCCAGCCAAGAAACAGAACATATGCAGTTGCTTTGTGATCCCAAGAGCAAAAAAGTGAAGCAAAAATTTAAAAACAAAATGTCACAGGGAATCCACAACTTAACAACCTGTTGCCTAATGACCATTCACATTTAAGAAGTAGATGGAATTGGTGCTTTATGGCTATAGAGTGAGCGCACATACAAACACAGAGCGATTGTAAATTGTTGTACTGCCCCCTATGATCATATGACATTACGACAGGTGCTTGGCAACCAGTCACTTTTATAACTAATTGCAATATTCTGCAGTGATGTGACCATAATTTGCATTTTTTTTTGTTGGTTTCCAGTGCTTTTTGCTAGTTTCCAGTGAAAACCATCCATTCAGAAAATAGCTTTGCCTAATGAACACAGTGATTCTCTTTATGATGGTTGCAGTGTCCTGGGGTCATGTGATCACCCTGTGACCTTCTGACAAAGTCAGTGGGAAAGCAAGATTCACTTAATAACCAGGTTACTAAATTATCAACTGCAGTGATTCACTTAACAACTGTGGCAAGAAAGGTCATAAAATGGGGCAAAGCTCACTTAACAAATGTCTCACTTATCAACAGAAATTTTGGGCTCAATTGTGACCCTAAGTTGAGGACTACCTATACTCACCTAATATGGCAAACTGCCATGCTTTTTGCAAACTGCCAGACAAATCCATAAGCTGGAATATCAGGGGGAAAATATCAAACATCAATAATTATTTTATTTCCTTTTTTGGGTAAAGGGGATAAAAAGAGCTTTGTTGCTCCATGATGGTAATTGTCCAAGAAGTAAGACACTGATTGGAAGTTGCTCTCTGCACCCTATTGCTCTCTAGAACCAATAAAAGGCCAATAGGAGGCCATCTTGAAGCCAACTAGGGCTTTGTGTGCTTTTGTCTTTTCCTCCTTGTCATTAAAAAACACACCATCCCTTTATTGTGGAAATGGCAAAGCAAGTCCTCAATGAGGCTGTGTACATCAAGAAGACAGTGGCAAAATACAACACCACCCTATCACCAAGCAGGAGAGGAAAAAATTGGAAACCTACTTGTTCTAAGGCAGACACGTCAAACTTGCGACGTCACGTGACATCGCGCAACGTATCGGGATGGTTTTGCCATTGCCGGCACTTGGGTGGGCACGGCTTCCGCGTGACACATCCGGTCCACGGGCCGGCAGTTTGACACCCCTGTTCTAAGGCAACAGAGAACAAGCTGTAAAACTGCTTGTGCAATTTTTCCACTGAAGTAGAAGCCAGTTCAACTTCCACAGCTCGCAGGACTTTTCTGAAATAGCTGCTGCATGAAGTGCCCTAAGAGCTCACAAGCTTCCGAGCTGACATTTCTACTTTGAAATTGAAGATTCACAAGCCCGGGAAATCTGACTTGAACAAATGTTATCAATTATGCAAGACTAAAAGTCCACTCCTGGTGTACTTTCTTACCAAGAAAAGGCTTTTTCTTTTTTCTTGCCCATGAAATGGCTTGAAGTTTTCCTTCAGTTCCCCTATGGCCAAAGCCTCCAGGTACTAAGATGCAACTGAAATCATACAAAATACAAAATTCAAGCATAACACATGAGCCAAATAATTTAGATTTGAGAATTATGCGTATCTGTGCCATACTTTTACTGATGGTAGAACATAAAAGATCTTTTATCTGAGTTTTTCATCTTAACATTTTATCAGTGTATGTAAACATACCATTATGATACATAATGTATGACCTCATCCTAAGGACAATTTTTAAAAATCTTTGTCTGCATTGCATAAACCTGTTTCTTTTTCACATAATAATATTATCAATTAACATAAACTAAAGGTTTGCTTTTTATTATAACTTATTTCAATTCATAGTTTAGGACATTCGTAAAAATTAAATAACTCAAAACATGTAATAGGAATACTTTAGCAAAAGTAAGGCTGAAATTTCCAGAAATGCATAGTAAGAGTTGAGTACAAATACGTTCTACACACTGATATATCAAATGTTCAAGTTTTGAGATGATTTTAAATAAAATTAAAATGCATTTATTTATAAAACAATAAACAAGAATCACCCAGGTAAATCGGAGTGGAAGCTGAAGAAAAAGGTATTTGCTTACTCTGCTTTACATAGCTTCTGCCAGGCCTGATGGAATCTCACTGGATTCTCAGCCTCCATAGCAGGCTCGAGGTCTGCTGAATCTATATACTAGTTGAATAAAAAGGCAGAACATACTTTAACACACATACATTAAATACAACGGAATTCTTCTCAAAGTAAAAATCTTTTTTTATTTTTTTTTATTTTTAACAAAACAAAACAAAGCAAAACATAACACACATATACACACAATATATACTCCTCTCCCTTTTTTTTACAGCGTTTGCATAACGGCAATATATTATTTACATTTCCCCCCTTATTCTTCTTTAGAATATTTGTCCTTATTGCCCCGTTATTTCTTATTTACATTTTTCTTCCTTCATGTTCTACTTCTTACTAAGAATAATTCATATTATTATTATTATTATACACATATTTTCACTTTTGACCTTTCCATACTTATTCTCCTCTATTATTTCTAGTCTCCAACCAGACATACCATTTGTTCCATGTTATATAATACTCTGTGTCTTCCTTTCTTTTATCTCTTTTGTTAATTTGTCCATCTCAGCACAGTCCAGGATTTTTCTTATTACTTCTTCCTCTGATGATATATTCTCATTTTTCCAGCACTGTGTATATGCTATTCTTGCCGCCATTATTATATGTAAAATTAAGTACCATATTTCTTTACTATATTTTCTGTTTAAAATACCCAACAAAAAGATCTCTGGTTTCCAGTCTACAGGTTGGTCTATTATTTCTTCGATCCATTTTCTTATTGTAGACCAGTATTTTTTTCCAACTGGGCATGTCCACCATAAATGATAATATGTTCCATATACTTTTTTACATTTCCAGCATGTTGGCGAATTGTTCTGGAACATCTTGGCAAGCTTTGCTGGTGGAAGATGCCATCTGTAAAACATCTTCAACTGGTTTTCCTTGAATGCCGCCGACATAGTCAATTTTATATTTATTTCCCATATTTTTTCCCATTTCTCCAATTCTATATTATATCCGAAATTTTTTGCCCATGTAATCATTGTGTCTTTGACAACCTCGTCTTCCATTTTATATCTCAATAGGTATTTGTATAAACTGCTAATTAATTTTATTCATCATCAAAGTAAAAATCTTAACAGTTTATAATTAGTGAAGTACAAAGCATTCTACTCTAGCACTGGTTCCGTACTCTAAGTATTAGGGAATCTATTGAAATTTTACATAATTTAGAGACATTTATATAATGCAGGTTGAATAAAACATGGGCTTCAGGGTGTTTTTCAAATTCATAAAAAAGAGGGAAAGCTTGTTTCAAATGAATGATGTTGTCAAGTCCCCAAACCCTCATTGTTTTCCCTGCGTATATATTCTACTTTTGGGGCCTGCCATTCTGTTGGGGGAGGGAGAGCTTACTCTAACTTGGGACAACTTTCGCTTTCTACTCTCTCCTCCTGCCTCTATCCCCTTGAGAAAGGAATGTATCTCCCTTATCAGGGAGACAGTTATAGAGAAACAAAACTGGAGAAGACCTTGAGATGTGCGCCAACTGTGCCAGTTACTCACTCATCAGACCACCTTTGGATTGGCTGGATATCAAATGGACATTATGACTTTGGTGGGAGGAGGAATATTGCTAGCTTAACTATACCTTTTGCGTGGGATTTTCCCCAGATCTCGCATTGACTTCCCTACTGTCACTGACCCCTAATAAAAGTATCCTTTTGAGACAATGCCTGTTTCAAGAGTTCTGCTTTCTTGGGTGGTTAGTTGAAGTGGATCCTTACATAAGGCGAGATCTGCATAGTACTCAACCCGGAGAAGCTGCTGCCCTACCGGGGGAGTTGCAAACTATTTCTACATGGAGGAGTTCCAGGCAGAGAAATGGTCCAAAGATCTCTTCTGCCTAAAAACGTCAGTCGATTTATGGCTGCACTCCGCAGGCATTTCGAAGACTGGCTGGCCGATAAGAAAGCCTGGAAGCAGATTAAGACAGTGAAACAAGGAAGGAGACTAGTCGCTGAGTATACCAAGGAGTTCAGAGAGTTGGCCAGTCACCTGCTCTGCCAGAGGACATTCTGGTAAGCTTTTTCCAGGATGGACTCAATGAAGAGCTGTATAATGCCTGTGTAGCCCGTGGGGCCCCAGGGCTATGACTGGTGCCTGCTAGCTGAGGAAGTAAAGATTGATCAATGCAAGCATCTGAATCACCCGGTGAGACCAAGCTTCAAGCTGCAGACTGATAAGTGAGGGGAGACTGCACGAGCTTTGCCTGCCCCACCTTGCAGCACTGCCTGCTTCAAATGTGGCAAAAAGGGACATTGAGCCGTGGATTGCTGCAGTAAGACACCTGCCAAGAGAGGGGATCATCTATCGGCCAAGAGACCCCTGAGGATCCAATCACGCTCCAGGGAGACTGCAATGAGATCCAAGGAAGTCGTAGAGCTCCCCTGGGATCACAATCAAGAGGGTCAAGCTCCAACTCAACGCTACGATGATCCAGGGACAGCAGAGGATGACTATGAGGATGACCTATTGGTGAGTGGGCCAACTGACCCCATAACAGTGCCCCTAGAACTTTCCATACCCAGCACTGGGAGGACAGTGAAATTAGCAGTCTTGCTGGACTTGGGGTATACCCGGCGCATTATTAGCCCAGAATTCATGGGGAAAATGGGGATCCTCCTCAGGAGGCTTAAGATTCCAATTACTTTTTGCCAACTGGATGGTTCAATTGTGTGGGGGGGCTGCCTGCCAGTTTTGCCACCAGACCCTTATACATCGACCTGGGAGGTCACACAGAGATTTTTAATGTTTATTGTGGCCCCAGGAATGGAGTGGCCATTAGTTCTGGAACTGGCTTGGCTAAAGAAGTGGAACCCCATGATCAACTGGAGAGAAGGGCAAGAGATTCCTGCAGGGGGAAGTCTCACCCATCAAGAAAAAGGTGGGAGATGTGGATTATGTCGTGATTTTGCCTCCGTCTTCAGTGAGTCAGACTTGCACAGCTTCCCAATGGAATACTGAGATTTGGCTGAAGCCTTCAGTGAGCAGAGGGCAGACGAACTCCTCCTCATCGGCCCACAGACTATGCAATTCCAGGGACGAAATTGCCAAAACCAAAAATGTACTTGATGACTCCTAGGGAGTCAAAAGAACTTGGAGCGGGGGTTTATCGAGCCAGCTAGACCCCGGGTAGCAGCCCGTGTTATTCAGAGAGAAGAAAGATGGCTCTCTTCATCTCTGCATTGATTATAGGAGCCTGAACACTGTGTGCATGGAAAACATGTATCCATTAACTTTAATGAAAGACATGTTAGAGCACCTATCAAAAGGAATTTTTTTTTGTCAAAACTGGACTTAAGAGAGGCTTGTTATCGCATAAGAATAAAGAAAGGAGATAAATGGAAAACTGCTTTCAATTGCCCATTGGGTTGCTTCCAATTTAAAGTTACAGGGGGGCACTGCAGTATTCATGCAACTGATCAATGAAATCCTATCTGATCACTTATATAAGGGGATTCTAGTTTACCTGGACAATATCCTTATTTATATCAAAACAAAAGATGAGCACATTAAGCTAGTCAGAACGGTACTGAAAAAACTGCGCTCTGCCAAACTGTATGCCAAACTATCAAAATGTGAATTTCACAAAAATCATATTACTGGATTATCGCATATCAAATGAAGGGATAGAAATAGACCCAGAGAAAGTGAGGGCAGTCTTAGACTGGGCACCCCTCAAAACCAGGAAACAACTCCAAAGTATCCTAGGATTTGCAAATTTCTACAGACAATTCATCCCAGCTTTTGCACAGATTGCCCTCCCAATTACAAACCTGTTAAAGACCAGAGGGGGAGATAAGCCAAAACCCAGTCAACTGCTGAAATGGACAGAAGAATGCCAAGCAGCTTTTGAGAAACTTAAAAGACTGTTTTCTATGGAGCCGGTTTTAAAACATCTTGACGCAGACCAACCATTTATAATTCAGGCTGATGCAAAGGATGTAGCTATGGGAGCGGTTTTGCTGCAGAGAAAAAAAGCAGGACAATAACAGCTCTGTGATTACACCTCGAGGAAACTGTCTGAGACCGAGCAGAGGTGGACAGCTTGGGAGAAAGAGGCCTATGCTGTACAGCGAGCTTTACTAACTTGGAGACATTTTCTAGAAGGAAACAAAATGCCATTCCAAGTATGGACTGACCACAAGAACCTTGAAGCCATGAAAACACCCAGAAAACTCCCCCCTAAGCAGGCAAGGTGGTCCCAGCTTTTCATTGTTTTAATTTTACAATTCACTATCTCCCTGGGGGAAAGAATTTTCTAGCTGATGCATTATCCAGGCTACCACAGTATAACAGCAAGAAAGCAGAAGTAGCCAAACCATTTCTGCATCATCAACTAGCAGCCCCTGTAATCACCAGGGCCCAATCAAAACCAGTGGGTGACATTGGAAAGACTTTATTACAGGAATTGAAAACCGCCTTAGAAACAGATGAATGGTTTCGTAACCATAATAACCTGTGTACATTAAAAGATGGTTTAGCATGGATTGGGGAAAAACTCTATGTTCCAGCAGCATTGAGACTTGAAGTGATGCAAGCAGGACATGATTCGAAAACTGCAGGACACTTTGCTTCTCCAGACAAGTTGATTTCATTCCATGCCCCAAGATTCCAACTGCAAAAACTTTAGCTAAACTCTTTGTGCAAAATGTATATCAATTTCATGGGGCTCCACAACATATAATTTCAGACCGGGGGGGGGGGGTTAATTCACTTCTAAGTTCTGGAATGCTTTTCTGGGTTCTAGTCAAGGATTATCATCTTCCCACCATCCTCAAACGAACGGAGGGATAGAGAGACTTAACTCAATTATAGAACAATACCAGAGATGTTTTATTAATCATCAGCAAGACAATTGGGCCGACCTGCTACTGTTTGCTAAGGTTGTTTACAATAATGCTGTACACTCAAGTACTGGGTTTACTCCATTTCAAGTAGCAAATGGCCAAACCTTTGTGGCCATGCCTGAACTCCCCACCAAAGAACTTGAAACCCAATCCTTGCAGAAGTGAATCAAACAATTGAAAACATCTGAC